GAGAGAGAGAGAGAGAGAGAGAGAGAGAGAGAGAGAGAGAGTGTGTGTGTGCGTGATCTGTTTTTCACTCACGGGGTATTTCTCCAGTGGGTCTGTGAGCAATGCGTCTCCAAATATTGATCGGCAATACTCGGCCATCTTCGCCTGCTGTTTGGGACTGAGACACAGTAAGAGCGTGAGACACACTGAGGAAATGAGTGACGGCAGCCGTCTTCACGTTCTGAATGAAACATTCTTTCAAAACAAGTTAAAAAGATTATAATTTTATAGAGAATTATATTTTCTCTATAGCGCCAGATCACAACAGAAGTCATTTAAAGTTACCTTTCTTATAGAACATGTCTATACCTTGTTCTTTCATTAAACAAACTAAATAGTCTTAATAAATAAAAATCTAAATAGCCTTATGTCATTTATCTTATTTACACGACGGCATGACATTTCAGTCTCTACGTTATGGTCGCGCTCTCTGTATCACGCGCACACACACACACACACACACACACACACACACAGAGTACATGTTAACTGTAACAACATGCTGTGAGTAAAGCTCTAAACACTTGGATCATTTATGTTACTCTAAGAAAGAGTGAAAAAGAGCTTTGACACTTACGAGTCCACATGGTTCTCAAAGGACAGGATGACTGGGAACGGAGACGTCTTGAAGGCGCTCTCTGCGATGGCCTCGATCACCTCCTGAAAAGCCATCCATTAGTTTACATGCATGGAAATGACACCACAACTGAGGGACAGTCATGATTTTAAAAAAATTAGGTGTGAAATGGGTGCTTTCTCTGTTTATGCGATCATTCTTGTGCCTCCTCAAAGATTGTCTGTCTCATAACACTAGAGAAATGTTTTCTGGTACACTGGATCTCTATCCTTTATCAACAGAATTCAGATTGTGAACACACTTAATTGCACAACCACATCCGCTAAACCTAACAACTTATTCTAATCCGTTAAAATATGTTTTTCAATATGTCGCAATCGCGTATACTCTCTCTGCCTCCTTCATGCCATTTCCTCATAATCCTTCATGTTCTTTACGGTTCCTAAAGCTCATGCCGTCTGAATGTTCTGCTAAACCTCACCGCTGGTTCTGTTGCTCCACATCCCTGTCAAAACCATCTCATCCAGCTCAATTCCCAAGTCCGCACCTAACAAGGAGATAAATGCATTTACCTTGAAGCAGATCTCTGAGGTCATGGTGAAGCCGTGTGTGATGAACGGCTCTTCGTCGGCGGTGCGTCCCTTCCAGCAGTCCAGCTCTATACAGCGACAGCCGGAGAGCAGAACCTGCCGGTACATCTCCACAGACGAGTTTCCCGCCAGCTGACCCGCTGCAGAAAACAACAGAGCACGGACATCAGGAGACTCGATAACAACTCTCTCACTCGTATCTAATCTACTGTCTTTGCTGATGCATTGCATGTCTCACCTGTCTGATTTGATCAAGTTTGATCATTAAAATATAGTGCTTCTCTTCCTTGTCAAAAGTTTTGCATTAAAAATGTTACCATTTCACCTACAATAATAATGCACTTCAGCTGAGACCAAATGCAATGCAAAGCCTTTAATAAAAGTGGAGAATGGTTTATGTTACAGAAGTCACATATATTTTGGTCTTCTGAGTGATTATGTGCTTCCTGTCTGATTGAGATAACTGGCAGAACTTCATCTAAATTAATCTAAAAATGCATTAGTGACACATCTTGAGTTTTATTGTAAAATGGAGTATATGGATTGGAAGTGCTTAAACTGAGTCTAAATGAAGTACAGCCATTAGCTCAAATGATACTGACATTAATATCATAATTCTACAACTACATAAGTGCAAAGAATTGCAGGGAGGTTTTTGTCACTCCATCTTCATTCGAATGGCTAAATCTAAGTGCATTAGCATCTGAAACCACATTGACACTGGATCATCTGTTCAGGCCACAAACGATCATCACTGAGGATTATTTGTACATTTGTGAGCATCCCACAAAACATTAGTTCATGTTCAAAGGCTAAACATCTGCTTTTGTGCTCTCAGAGTGACTCACTTCTTCATATAGTCTGACGGAAACGGAAAAACCCCAAACAAAATCCCTGACAGTTTCATATTCAATTTGTGTTCACAACAAAGTGACGTGGCTCACAGTACCAGCGCCCTGCGGCGTGTAAAGCCTGTGGCTGATGACAGGAATGAAAACGAGGCTGTGAGGGACTGATGTACAGAGTGATGTAGGTGTTGTGCAAAGCGTCTGATTGGCTGACCAGTGAGGTAGGTGTTGTGCGAGGAGTTGATGAAGTAATGCGAGAGCGGCAGCGTCATGTCTTCACTCTGGTCCAGCTTCTCTGGAGGGATGATACTGTTCTCTTCTCCGCTCAGATATCTGGCGAAGCCCTCCACCGAGATCTGCCCTGCACCACAAAACAACAGTATTAACAATCCTGTGTACATTTGCAAACTTTGGACTGTGCTGGACAGACCTTCAGACCAGTGGATGGTTCCCTTCTTTAAAGGTGACATATCATGAAAATCTGACTCTTCCAGGTTGTAAGTGCTATAATCAGGTCTCCGGTGCATCTACCAACCAAGGAAACATGATAAACATTAACCCAGTAACTTTGTTTTGGGAAGCCTTTTTCTGCAAGCGTCTGAGAAAACCAGCGCGTCTGATTTCGCTCCCTTGGTGACGTGGCAAAGCGATCTCATTATAATATGACCGCCCCTCAATCTGTAAGTTTCCACCCACGGCGCCGTCATTTTGATTTCACAAGCGACAGCGGTGTATTACTTCTAATGCCATGGAGAAAGTTTGAGCGAAGCATGCTAACTGTTCTGTGTTTGGCTGCAGAGACGAGCACAGAACACTGTTTAGAGTCCCAGCCTCAGAGACAACAGAGCAGAGGATTTATTGATGTATTTACTGTATATTGCTGCTGCCACACAGATCTAAAATAAACATGTGATTTATTTCCCAGCTGTTTACCTTCACAGACATAACCCACTGTTTTTGTAACTCGTGTGTTTTTAAGGTAAGCTTGTGTGTGAATGAGAACTTAGTTTAGTGCTCGCATGCTGTGACAGCCGCTTTCTGTGCGTGTGCTTCAGATGTGTGCGCTCAGAAAACCTTATATCAGAAGTTTAAACTCATATGGTTTAAAACGCATGATTTCAGCGAGATAAACATGATAATCAGAACCAAAACAGATGTTTTTAGCAGGTCTGAGCTGTAATGGCGCAGCTCTATTCTGGAAAAGGGGGCAGGGAGCAGCAGCTCATTTGCATTTAAAGAGACAGGCACGAAAAACAGCGTGTTTCTGCTTCCACTCAAAATAGGCATTTTCAAAATGTTATAATAAATGATCTGTGGAGTATATTGAGCTGAAACTTCAGACACATTCTGGGGACACCAGAGACTTATATTACATATTGTAAAAAGGGGCATAATGTCTCCTTTAAATACTCTATGTCAGCAATGCTCAGTCCTGCTCCTGGAGATCTACCTTCCCACAAAGTCTTGCGCCAATACCAGAACCGGTTACTGAAGGCCTTCAGGAACACTTGGATCAATACAGGTACAGTAGATCTACAGGAACAGGAATGAGCACCTCTAATCTACTTAATCTTATTTTAAGAAAGAATGCAACTGTAACCACAGAATGTCACGAGCATTTCCTCGTTAAGATGAAGTCATCATGAGTTCAGCAGAAGTGACAGCTCAGACTGCTGGAATGTCGACCAGCCGCTTCTCATTTCAGTCCATTTTCACAGGGCTCCGCGGCTCTCAGGTGGAGTCTAGCGCATGTAACATCCCTGCCGTCCCTCTGGCCACTTTACGCTAATTAATCCTGCCATGCCCTCTGTAGACTCCCACAGCCTAATTAACACAGCTCTTCCTCTGACATCTGAACAGGTTGCCTCTAATGAAGCAGCAACGGGTGACTTTCATCTCAGCGGAGCGCTCACCTTTCCAGCCTCGTGAGGGAACACCACGGAGAAAGACTTCATTAATGCAGTGTGCTCAGAAATGGAGACGAGGTTCATGAGGACAGACAGCATCTTCATGGAAGACTACAATCCAGCATCTTTTAAACATACAGGTTCTTCGATGGTTCTTTGCAGTGATTTAGACTCAGTAGAGAACCCTCCTCTGATACAGGGCTCATGAGCTGCTACAGTATGGCTCTTAACAAAAACATCTACATTCATCTCTCCAAAAGTTCTTTGATTTAATTATCTTTTTTTTTTTTTTTACTGTAAAACGGACTCTTTGCCTCTTGTAAAATGTAAATGAGCCTTGTTATGATTGGTGTAGTTCATACTGAATATGTGTGGGCGGGTCATATGTTAATGAGCTCATGGCTGTGATGTTGTTTCTGCAGTTTAAGTAATATATATTCAGGATGGACTGGAGAGAGGAAGTTTTGGGTTTTGACCGTCACATAACATCAAACTCTTATTCACTGAACAGCAAACCTTCAGTTCAACATCATATGAGCATTTTATATCATTACAGCTTTAATTCTCAGGGATCAAACAGCAGAGAGTGGGCGGAGTCTGTTTGAGTGACAGGAGAATTCACCAACCTCTTCGTGAAAGCATGGTGTCAGGCTCGTATTTCTCCACCAATCCCTGCACTTGCTCGGCTTTGAGGGGCGGGTACAGGATCTCGTTCAGACGAGGGTCTCTCTGTCTGTTGTTCAGGAAATCTGTCATCTGCTCTACGGTGAGGTACGGCCGGATCTTAGCGCCGCTGCTCATCAGTACAGAAACACACGCACACACACACACACACACACACAGACACAGACAGACAGACAGACAGACACACAC